CGTCCACTAATCTATTTCCAAACCAATGTTTACCTATTTCGCTCCTAAGTCTAAATTTGTCTAATTTAAAACCATTGTTACGAGTTCGCTCCTGGTTGGATAGTTTGAGTATCTTTGTAATGTCCCCTTTGTTCAGCCCTGACTTCCATTTATACACCTCTATCATATCGCCCCTCACTCTACGTCTCGAGGGAGTGTCAGTTAAGATGCTTTAACCTGTCTCTATACTCAAGGTTCCTTTTTTTTTTTACGGGTATTAGCCCACCCGGACACAGGTCACCGACCCACATCAGGGCCCGGGGGGCGAAAATGTGATGATGATAATAATAATAATAATAATAATAATAATAATAATAATAATAATAATAATAATAATAATAATAATAATATTAATAATAATAATAATAATAATAATAATAATAATAATAATAATAATAATAATAATAATAATAATAATAATAATAATAATAATAATAATAATATAGATAAAATTTATAATAAAAATACAAATAGAAATAAAATAATAATGATATATATCTGAAACACTGCAATAATAATAATAATAATAATAATAATAATAATAATAAAATATGGAACCATAAAGACATTTAAAAAAGATCATTAGTGAGAAACGATATACGTACGTTGTGTTGTCAACAGCAAGAGAAACAATTAAGACCCCGTAACCGTGTGCAAATGAGGCAGAAAGTCAGATCATCAACCTGGGACTTGGTCACATATGGCAGCAGGGTCTACCATTAGACAACACATTATGCTTCCATTATCTTCCCAGGTGGTAGTACCTCCCTGTTTGGTAGCTGCCCACTACCTGCTACCTATAAATGCCCGGGATTAGTCTTGTCATTCTCCTCTGAATTTTTTCCAATGATTCTATATCCATTCTGTAATACGGTGACCAGAATTGAACTGCGTAGTCCAAGTGAGGTCTCACAAGCGCAAGATATAGTTTTAGGATGACCTCGCTAGTCTTGTAACTAACACTCCTTTGTATGAACCAAAGTACTTTATGAGCCTTGTTTCGAGCAAATACACATTGTTTACACTCTCACACACACACACACACACACACACACACACACACACACACACGTCATCAAACTAATAATGATAACAGCGTGGCCAATAACAGCAACAACAACAACAACAACACGACGTCGCCTTTGAGCGGGACTTCTCATTGGGTGTTTGATTTGTGAGTCGTCTTCTCATTGGCTGTATTTTATCAAGGGTTGGTTTCCTATTGGTTGCTTATCCCAGGAGTTTGCTTGCTATTGGTTGTGTACTGAAGGACTATGCTGTCCACCACCTGAAGGCTTTAGTCCAGGTAGATAGATATCCTCATGTTAAAGTTCTGTCTGTCTGTCTGTCTGTCTGTCTGTCTGTCTGTCTGCCTGTCTCTCTTCAGTAGATATATTTCAACAGGCAGGTTTACTTCTTCAGGCATATTTCGACACATAGTAGCATCGTCACTATCATCGTCGCAAGTAATCGTCACTATCATCGTCAGTAGAATCGTCACTATCATCGTCAGGTCTCACACACTCACCCCATGTAAGGGTCGTCAACCTCTCCTCCGGGTAAAGTCTTCACTGAAAAGGTAAAATGGGGTAAGTGTTTCGTTTTTGTTGCTGTTGTTTGGGATGAGGTGATTGTGTGTGTGTGTGTGTGTGTGTGTGTGTTTGAATCCCATTAAGTCGAAAATCCCCTTAAAGAAGCCTATTTTTATATACGATATCGACCTGGGTGGAAAGTCCCAGGTTACTGATCTGACTTTCTGCCTCATTTACACACAATTGTAGGGTCTCAATTGTTTCTTTTCTTAGACAACACAACATAATATATTATTTTATTGTTTCTCACTCCTGGTCTGTTTTATTTTTATAATTTCTGTAAACTTTGTTCAACTTGTTTATTTATCCCCCCTCCCCTCCCTACTTGACCTCTAACATTAACTCTGAGAGAGCAAAGTTTCACTCACTAACCATACATTATTACCATCATCTGTCTGTCTGTCTGTTTTTACCTCCCCACTCCCCCTTCTGTCTCTAAGTGGATGAAGGGTTACTCAGTGGTTTCTTTTTTTTTTCTTTTTTATCGCTTGTTCGTCAAAAAAAGTCCATGGTAGAAATAGGGAGTTGCCATGGTAGTGGAGTAAGTTGCCGTGCTAGCAATAAGTTGCTATGGTAGCAAAAACAAGTTGCCATGAGAGTAATAAGTTGCCGTGCTAGCATGGCAAGTTGCCGTCACCCTCTCAAAACACATACTTTCTCATATACTAAAAACTTGCCGGGTCACTTTATATTTTTTTTTTGAGGGATGCAATATGACCAACCTCCCATCCCTCCCTCCCTCCCTCTTTCCTCCCTCCCTCCATCCCTCCCTCCCTCCTTCCTCCCTCCCTCCTTCTTCCCCCCTACCCCTCCCGCCCTCTTTTCCTCCCGTTTCTTCCTCCCTGACTGTGCGTCACTTCTCTGTTACCGGGTTCCTTGTTGTTGCAGTAGATCAGGGCGCCGAAGATCAATGTGCCATAGATTAGGGCGCCATAGATAAAGGTGCCATATGCCATTATACTGTATGTCGATATTTACACACACACACACACACACACACACACACACACAGATACAGCACACCTCACCATGTTTGTTTACTCTGTGTATGAATATTGATCATCCTTCATACATATATCTCCATCAGGCAGACCTTTATACAAACACCTCACTATACACAAGGAGGGGTTAGGTTAGGTTAGGTAATGTGGTAAGTGGTGGATATCGACCATCACACAGTGAGACTCCCTCAATGGTCGAGTGTGTGTGTAGTGTTCATTGACTTAGAGAGTGTTTGACTGTTGTAGTGAGTGTTAGTGTGTTGCTGAAGGTCTGTGTGAGTTGGGTGTTGAAGGGTCGGTTCTGTTATTTGTGTGGTTGTAGTCTCCAGGTGCCTTTTAAGGAAGGAAGGAAGGAAGGAAGGAAGGCTTTGTAGTGAAGATTTTGGTGAAGGATTCAATTTCGATTTTGGGATTCCTCGTTCTCATCCAAAGAGATCCTAGACAAAAGGAACTGATGGAGGAATTTGGCGGAATGTAGAGAGAGAGAGAGAGAGAGAGAGAGAGAGAGAGAGAGAGAGAGATGTCACGCTTCAGTTCATCTCTGTGGCTGCGTTTTCTGATTATGATAGGTCTTCAGGTAAGTGGGCTCATAGTCTACACCTGGCCGAGGACCTACACCCCCTCACAGAAAAGTGAGAGAAAACGTAATACGGTGAACAAGTCACTCCACAGTGAGGTAGGTAAATAGACAGAAAGATAGACAGACAGATAGATAAACAGATATATAGATAAGCAGACAGATAAGCGAGTAAGAACTTAAGAATGGAGGAAACTGTTGCGGGCGTATTGGCCCAAACTGGGCAGTCCCGTTTACACCCAACCCCTATCTCTCATATATGGACTGTTTGTTTGCGAGGTTTTGTGTGCTGAGTGTTGTCATAGAAGTTTCTCCCATTATTTACCTATTATTATTATTATTATCGTGTGTATTATTAGTTATCAAGTTTATTTCTTACTGCGGTTATGGTAAAAAAAATAATAATAATCCCTAAGTAAAAAGTAAGTTTTGGACTTTTTTTTCTTCGGACGAAAAATATTTTGACTAAATTCAGTCAATTTTCCTGACCAAAGTGTTTCCCCACTCACGTGAGCGCGGGGTTACTCGTGACGTTATTGGTTTTACATGTGGTATCACACTTCATCTTATTTCATTAGATTATGTAGAAAATAGGTGGTATACTGCAGATATTATGGTGATTATCAGGTGCAAGATGAAACAACGAAAGGTGCAACTCATAATCAGAAATACCAACTGGACCGAGACTGTTGTTCATGTGTTATTGTGTTCATTTCCAAATACATCAGGCCCAGGGGGGCCGATACCTTTTGGAGGAGAGTATATAGTACCTTTTACAAGTTATCTTTTTTTTTCATTTAAAAATTGTATAATCTTACCGTAACACCAGGTGAACTGTTCCTGTCTAGGGTTAAGTAACAAGTAAAAATTAACAACAAATGCTTTAGAATAAAACACGATATATGAAACTCGTATTAAAATTTATTAATTTAAAATGTACAACCCATCCTACAAACCCTGATCCTCCCTCTTCCTTTTGATATCTGTTTTGCTTCTCCCTTTCCTCACCACCGATATTTTCTCTTTTCAGTTTTGTTTATTATTTACGGGCCTTATAAATATTTTTTTCCCATCACTGAGGACAGCATAACCAATGCCTAGTGCGTGCTCCTTCTCGACGTCGGTGGCAAATGAAAAGAACCCAAACTGTGAGTTTGGTTGCCTTTGGCAGTTGATTACTTGGCCGAATTGAGAAAGTGCTGCGGCCACTTCTTCATTTGTCGTGGTTGGATCCAACCCCCCCACAAACACTTTAATGTTACACGCCATCACAACGTTTACTTGTTGATGGCCAATAAAGTGTGGACCACCAAGTACTGTGGCCTGAGCCTCTGCTACATTTTGGAATATGATGAATCCATATGATTCCCCATTTTTTATCCAAATTTTTTGTATTTTACCATATTTTTCAAAAGTATTTTGGATGGTTTCCCGAGTACAGTTTTCGGGTAAATTTTTTATATTAACTTTGGCAGCCGTTGACAACCTTTCGTCCCGGCTGTATGCGTTTGATTGTTTTTGGCGTTTGGTGGGAGTTTCGTTTATACCGTAAAGGGCGAGCGACTCTTCCTCGTCACCATCCTCGTTTAATTTTCGTGTGACTACATGCACGACCTCAGTATCCTCAACCTGTTTGAGGTATTGCTTAGGATTTTCTCTGTACATGTAGTCGTCGTTTTCTGGGCTTAATTTTCTCTTCAAAGTTGGGGGTGCCTGTACTTGTGATCCATTTCTGATATTTTGGTTTTTTGGAACTTTTATAGCCATGCGCCGCCCATTTATATTGATTGCTTAAGCATCGACGGCACGTCGAGCTGCTTCTTCACTACTAAAAGTGACAAAGGCGTAAGGAGCAGGCCGACCTCCGGAGAGCGGTCTCTGCCACTTAAGGATGTGGCCGTACTCCTCGAGCCTTTCCTGGACTTCGTCATCTTCATTAGGCCGACTAGTTAGACCACCTATGAAGATCTGACAGCCCGCCCCTTGCGGCAATTCCACATCGATGACGCTGCCGTCGATCACATGTGGAGAGCAACTAAGGGCTCGGCTTAATCCTTCAGTATTGTCATAAATGACAAAACCAAAATTTTTTCCATTCTTTATCCAAATTTTAGACAGCACCCCGAATTTACCAAAGTAATTTTGTATTTTATCCATCGAAATATTTTGTGGAAGGTGTTTTATGAACATTTTATTATCATTCTTTTCTGATGATGTTGGGCTGGTCAGCGTTGGGTTGGTCACATCTGGTTGGGACAGTGTTGGGTTGGTCACATGGTTGGGACAGTGTTGGGTTGGTCACATCCGGTTGGGACAGTGTTGGGTTGGTCACATCCTGTTGGGACAGTGTTGGAGACGACTATATATTATTTGAAGTCTCTGTGTTTTCTAATGTCTTATTTTTGGGTCGGATGATAGGGACGGTTCTATCCAGTTCGACAGTTAGGGGGCGGTCATTGACGATCACCTGCCCTACTGCCACCACGCTCAACGCCATTTCTGGCGTTTTAAACGTAACGGTACAATAATTTTCTAGTTTTCCATCTGTTTTTATTGGCCTTTCGTATTTCACAATGGTGCCATAGGTACCCAACACCTCGAGCACGTGGTGTGGTCCAGTGACCGACAGTTTTTTCGATAAATTGTTGACAACAATTTTCGTCTCCATCGCAGAAGAATACTCGTAACATTTTCTCAGCTTCCAAGAGGCAATGTTCTAAATTCTGCGTGCGAGAAAATATAGTAAGAGGCTCTCGGGATATATAGTGTATAATGTTTACTGTGTATAAAGTTTACTGTGTACTGTATAGTAAAGTTGTTTACTGTGTATAGTGAAGATTGTTTACTGTGTGTAGTGAAGATTGTTTACGGTGTGTAGTGAAGACAGTTTACTGTGTATAGTGAAAATAGTTTGCTGTATACTGAAGGTAGTTTACTGTGTAGTAGTGAAGATAGTCTACGGTGTGTAGTGAAAATGGTTGACTGCATATAGTGAAGCTAGTTTACTGTGTATAGTGAAGACTGTTTACTGTATAGTGAAGATTGTTTACTGTGTGTAGTGAAGACAGTTTACTGTGTAAAGTGAAAATAGTTTACTGTGAGTTGTGGAGACAGTTTACTGTGTATAGTGAAGATAGTTTACTATGTGTAGTGAAGATTGTTTACTGTGTGTAGTGAAGATTGTTTACTGTGTGTAGTGAAGACAGTTTACTGTGTGTAGTGAAGATGGTTTACTGTGTATAGTGAAGTCGTATACTGTGTGTAGTGCAGACAGTTTACTGTGTGTAGTGAAGATTGTTTACTGTGTGTAGTGAAGATTGTTTACTGTGTGAAGTGAAGACAGTTTACTGTGTATAGTGAAAATAGTTTACTGTATAGTGAAGGTAGTTTACTGTGTAGTAGTGAAGATAGTCTACGGTGTGTAGTGAAAATGGTTGACTGCAAATAGTGAAGCTAGTTTACTGTGTATAGTGAAGAATGTTTACTGTATAGTGAAGTTGTTTAGTGTGTAGTGAAGATAGTTTACTGTATAGTGAAGACAGTTTACTGTGTATAGTGAAGATATTTTACTGGGTGTAGTGAAGATAGCTTACTGGGTATAGTGAAGACAGTTTACTGTGTATAGTGAAGAGAGTTTACTGTACGTAGTGAATTCAGTTTACTGGGTGTAATGAAGGTAGTTTATTGTATAGTGAAGTTGCATAAATTGTATAGTGAAGACAGTTTACTGTGTTTAGTGAAGGTATTTTATTGGGTGTAGTGAAGACAGCTTACTGGGTGTAGTGATAACAGTTTATTGTTTATAGTGAAGACAGTTTAGTGTGTGTAGTAAAAGACAGTTTACTGTGTATACTGCAGACAATTTACTGTATATAGTGAACATTTTACTGTATATAGTGAAGACAGTTTACTGTGCGTAGTGATGAGTTTATTGTTTATAGTGAAGGCAGTTTACTGCATATAGTGAAGACAGTTTACTGTGTGTAGTGATAACAGTTTATTGTTTATAGTGAAGACAGTTTACTGTGTGTAGTAAAGACAGTTTACTGTGTATACTGCAGACAATTTACTGTATATAGTGAACATTTTACTGTATATAGTGAAGACAGTCTACTGTGTGTAGTGATAACAGTTTATTGTTTATAGTGAAGACAGTTTACTGTGTGTAGTATAGACAGTTTACTGTGTATACTGCAGACAATTTACTGTATATAGTGAACATTTTACTGTGTGTAGTGATAACAGTTTATTTTTTATAGCTAAGACAGTTTACTGTGTGTAGTGATAACAGTTTATTGTTTATAGTGAAGACAGTTTACTGTGTGTAGTGATAACAGTTTATTATTTATAGCTAAGACAGTTTACTGTGTGTAGTGATAACAGTTTATTGTTTATAGTGAAGACAGTTTACTGTGTGTAGTGATAACAGTTTATTGTTTATAGTGAAGACAGTTTACTGTGTGTAGTGATAACAGTTTATTGTTTATAGTGAAGACAGTTTACTGTGTGTAGTGATAACAGTTTATTGTTTATAGTGAAGACAGTTTACTGTGTGTAGTGATAACAGTTTATTGTTTATAGTGAAGACAGTTTACTGTGTGTAGTGATAACAGTTTATTGTTTATAGTAACAGTTTATTGTTTATAGTGAAGACAGTTTACTGTGTGTAGTAAAGACAGTTTACTGTGTATACTGCAGACAGTTTACTGCAAATAGTGAACATTTTACTGCATATAGTGAAGATAGTTTACTGTGTGTAGTGATAACAGTTTATTGTTTATAGCTAAGACAGTTTACTGTGTGTAGTGATAACAGTTTATTGTTTATAGTGAAGACAGTTTACTGTGTGTAGTGATAACAGTTTATTGTTTATAGCTAAGACAGTTTACTGTGTGTAGTGATAACAGTTTATTGTTTATAGCTAAGACAGTTTACTGTGTGTAGTGATAACAGTTTATTGTGTATAGTGAACACTGTTTACTGTATAGTGAAGATTGTTTACTGTGTGTAGTGAAGACAGTTTACTGTGTATAGTGAAAATAGTTTACTGTGAGTTGTGGAGACAGTTTACTGTGTATAGTGAAGATAGTTTACTGTATAGTGAAGGAAGTTTATTGTGTAGTAGTGAAGATAATCTACGGTGTGTAGTGAAAATGGTTGACTGCATATAGTGAAGCTAGTTTACTGTGTATAGTGAAGAATGTTTACTGTATAGTGAAGTTGTTTAGTGTGTAGTGAAGACAGTTTACTGTATAGTGAAGACAGTTTACTGTGTATAGTGAAGATATTTTACTGGGTGTAGTGAAGATAGCTTACTGGGTATAGTGAAGACAGTTTACTGTGTATAGTGAAGAGAGTTTACTGTACGTTGTGAATTCAGTTTACTGGGTGTAATGAAGGTAGTTTATTGTATAGTGAAGTTGCATAAATTGTATAGTGAAGACAGTTTACTGTGTTTAGTGAAGGTATTTTATTGGGTGTAGTGAAGACAGCTTACTGGGTGTAGTGATAACAGTTTATTGTTTATAGTAAGGACAGTTTACTGTGTGTAGTAAAGACAGTTTACTGTGTATACTGCAGACAATTTACTGTATATAGTGAACATTTTACTGTATATAGTGAAGACAGTTTACTGTGCGTAGTGATGAGTTTATTGTTTATAGTGAAGGCAGTTTACTGCATATAGTGAAGACAGTTTACTGTGTGTAGTGATAACAGTTTATTGTTTATAGTGAAGACAGTTTACTGTGTGTAGTTAAGACAGTTTACTGTGTATACTGCAGACAATTTACTGTATATAGTGAACATTTTACTGTATATAGTGAAGACAGTTTATTTTTTATAGCTAAGACAGTTTACTGTGTGTAGTGATAACAGTTTATTGTTTATAGTGAAGACAGTTTACTGTGTGTAGTGATAACAGTTTATTATTTATAGCTAAGACAGTTTACTGTGTGTAGTGATAACAGTTTATTGTTTATAGTGAAGACAGTTTACTGTGTGTAGTGATAACAGTTTATTGTTTATAGTGAAGACAGTTTACTGTGTGTAGTGATAACAGTTTATTGTTTATAGTGAAGACAGTTTACTGTGTGTAGTAAAGACAGTTTACTGTGTATACTGCAGACAGTTTACTGCAAATAGTGAACATTTTACTGCATATAGTGAAGATAGTTTACTGTGTGTAGTGATAACAGTTTATTGTTTATAGTGAAGACAGTTTACTGTGTGTAGTGATAACAGTTTATTGTTTATAGTGAAGACAGTTTACTGTGTGTAGTGATAACAGTTTATTGTTTATAGCTAAGACAGTTTACTGTGTGTAGTGATAACAGTTTATTGTTTATAGTGAAGACAGTTTACTGTGTGTAGTGATAACATTTTACTGCATATAGTGAAGACAGTTTACTGTGTGTAGTGATAACAGTTTATTGTTTATAGTGAAGACAGTTTACTGTGTGTAGTGATAACAGTTTATTGTTTATAGTGAAGACAGTTTACTGTGTGTAGTATAGACAGTTTACTGTGTATACTGCAGACAATTTACTGTATATAGTGAACATTTTACTGTGTGTAGTGATAACAGTTTATTTTTTATAGCTAAGGCAGTTTACTGTGTGTAGTGATAACAGTTTATTGTTTATAGTGAAGACAGTTTACTGTGTGTAGTGATAACAGTTTATTGTTTATAGTAAAGACAGTTTACTTTGTGTAGTGATAACAGTTTATTGTTTATAGTGAAGACAGTTTACTGTGTGTAGTGATAACAGTTTATTGTTTATAGTGAAGACAGTTTACTGTGTGTAGTAAAGACAGTTTACTGTGTATACTGCAGACAGTTTACTGCAAATAGTGAACATTTTACTGCATATAGTGAAGATAGTTTACTGTGTGTAGTGATAACAGTTTATTGTTTATAATAAGACAGTTTACTGTGTAGTGATAACAGTTTATTGTTTATAGTGAAGACAGTTTACTGTGTGTAGTGATAACAGTTTATTGTTTATAGCTAAGACAGTTTACTGTGTGTAGTGATAACAGTTTATTGTTTATAGCTAAGACAGTTTACTATGTGTAGTGATAACAGTTTATTGTGTATAGTGAACACTGTTTACTGTATAGTGAAGATTGTTTACTGTGTGTAGTGAAGACAGTTT